AAGTGATAAATTTAGAGAGGAAATCAGGAGATGCTAGCGCTACGTAACGGCGACGTTTCCACTTAACTTTACACAAGTTTCTGACCGAGCTTGGACGTCTGTTCTCTGTGATAACATCTAATGATTTCAAAATTCAGGAAATCATTTTTTTATAGCAAGTGAGTGGAAGCAACCCTGTCAAGGAGAATACCATGAATCACAGCCAGTAGAAACATCATCACCAAAGTGTTAGAGACACACATCTTGTGGTGATTAATTGGATGGTGGTGAAATAAGCAACAGTGAGATTATTCTGTAATGATTTCAGAATGTGTAGAGCTGGCCAGCCCAACCTTTCAAAACTTGCTTTTTTTTAAATGGCTGTATCTATTTTCGATGAACATGTTTCGAGCTGCATTTTGTTTCTTTCTTAGTCATGCTAGGCTGAAATTGATCATGAATAAAATTGGACTAGAATGATGCCATTGCTGAGATTCAGAGACCACGTCCGGCACGTGGGTTGCACGTTGGGTAGCGCTAATATAGAGCATATACTGTTATGTTATGTGGGTAATTTTGAAAATAGTTAAAGCAGTTTAATTTATTTTACTTTGGAGCCTAGACTTTCATAAATCGGGTTAGCTTTTCCATTTCATATTGAAATATTTATAAGTTAAATTGAATCTCAATAAATTGATAAGCGTGATTGCTTCTCTCCCCAAAAGGTCTGGGTTCAATCTCAGTCGGCACCACCGGGATGTTCTGAGGCATAAAGTCTCTGATCACGCCTTGAAAGCCGTTGTTCCGTGGTCTATGAGTTGATGGATCGATAGGTAGGTTTGAAGTTATTCTATAAAGGCTTTAAAACATTTGATGGATAGATTTTCGTGTATCTAGGAAATTTTGTTAATAGTCAATCTAATATAAATTATTTTAAAAAATCGCGCAGCTTAACCATTTTAGATTGAAATATTGTATTTAATTTAATTCATGTTAGAAATCACCCGGCTTTTCCATTTCAAATTGAACGATTTTTAAGCCGAATTGCACCTCAATTGTTATGAGTTGTTTCAAACGTATATGAGGATATTCTGTACAGAATTAAGTACATTTTGAACATAGACTTGTATGTATGGGGATATTTAGGAAAATAGTTATGCAATTTTTTAAAGAAAACACCTGGTTTTTTTTCATTTCAAATTGTAATATTTAAAAGTCGCGTTAAACCTCAATTCTCGTGAGTTGATTTACATTTGTTTAATATTATTCTGTAAAGACTTCAGCATATTCGGAGCATAGCCTTGCAAGTATGAGGGTACTTTTGAAAATATTCTATCTAATCTGATTTATTATAGAAATCACGAGGCTTTCCCATTCTAATTTGAAATATTTATAATCAAATTTATTATGAAAGATCGAAACCCAAGTAACAATTTTGGTTTAATGAGGGTTCTGTAGACCATGATTAGACTTGTAGAATGCTATAAAACCGCGATAAAACCTGCAATGTTACTTGGGAATAAACTTGAGATTCATCTGTAAAGATTTCAGCATATTTCAAATAGGGATTTTCATGTATGAGGGTATTTTTTAAATCAATTAGACTAATAAGACGAATTAATTTAATGTATTAGAGACATCACCTGGCTTTGAAATTCAATTTGAAATATGAATAAGTAAAATATAACCTCAATCCCCATGACTCGTTTCGAAAGTATTTGAGGCAATTCTAATTAAGATTTCCGCATATTTGGAGCAAAGACTTGCATGTAGATTGTAGATTGTACTCGAAAAAAATGCAACACTTTCTTTTGTGTATAACTTTTTATTACATGGTTAAAAATTGATGAAATTTTGAGTAAAACTAGTTTAGAGTGTACTGTTTACATGCAAAAAATCTCTTACAACCTGTTAAGTGGTTATCGAGTTGGCTTCCAAGCAAGAAGTGCTCCGACAAAAAAAATATGGGAACGGTCGTGGAAAATCCAGGCCAGTCCCACAGGTGGATCGCGAAACAGATTGGAATCGACACTTCGATCGTACCGCGTGTGATAAAATCATTCAAGGAGACCCAGATGACCCAGCGGCGAGATGACAGCGGAAGAAAAGCGAAGACGACCGACCCCGTGACCGCAAGGAAGGTGAGGGAATACTTCAAGTGCAATTCGAACCTTTCGATTCGATTTCGATATGAGTTTTGGCTCAAGTCAGATTCTGGTCACTTCTCCGGTGATACCCGGAATAGGTGCGTGTGAGACCGTTTTGCTCTGGAGACCAAATATGATCAGAAATGATCTTCTTTTGAAGTCTCATATGGTTGATAGGTCGTAAGATTAGTTTTGACTGAAATAGATTCTGACCACGTCCTCGAAGGCACTCGGAACATGTTTTTGGATCTTGGCTTTCTCAATCTCTCTTTGAATGTGATTATTTCAATGGTTGAATTTTCTACCATTATATTGGCAACACTGACAGTGCTCTCTTTAACGGTTAAACGTGGCAATTTTGAATTAAATCGTTGGAAGCTTGACTTCAGACCAGGAAAATTCAGGATAGTCCAGACTTTTGAAGAAGTTTAAAGATCTGTAAAGGATAATTTCCAGAATGGATGTTCTATTAGTGATGAGGATCACAAGCGTGTCGTGAAAACGTTTAAGCGGAATCCCAATGCTTTGGTCAGGATGTGGCCAAAATATTGAATCTGTCCAAGTCTTTCGTTCAGAGAGCCAAGGACCGGAAGGGACTGCATACGTACAAAGAGCAGAAGGCTCCAAATCGTGATGAACGTCAAAATACGATGGTAAAGTCACGAGCCTCATTGTCTCATCATGGATCATGAGACTTACGTCAAAGTGGACTTCCTGCAGCTTCTTAGGCTACTGTTCTTCACCACCCAGCACAATTTTGATGTTCCGACGAAGGAAGTAAGGAAGCTGATACTTTCAAAGTTTGCCAAGAAATACATGATTTGGCAAGCAATCTGCTCATGTGGCAAACGGAATGCGCCGTTCGTGACTATCGGGACTGTAAACGGGAAGATCTACCTCAAGGAGAGTCTACATAAGCGTCTGATTCCTCTAATCGAACTTCCCGGGTATCTTCAAGAGCATCCGAGAATATCAGAGGACCTCAGTGCAGTTTAATTAACCTAACTTGAAACTTAGGAAATTTATTATTGATTAATAAGTGTTTTTGTATTTTTTTTAATGTTCAAAGTATTATGCATGTGTATTTGCAGGCATGCTTAAATGGAAAATTTAATGGAGTGTACATTGGTGCTAATAAAACAGATTATTGACGTCATTTTGGAATCCAAAACGGTTGCTTCCGATTTTCTAAAATCCACAGGTCATTTTGGAACGAGAAGGACGAGAAGAATTCGAAAATAAATTATTGATGCCATTTGGGAATCACCATCTTGGCTTCCGGGTTTTTTAAAACTGTCAAGTACCTTACAATATTGGTATTTTCGAAACGAAAACGACATTTAGAGTCCTAAATCGATTATTGACGCCATTTTGAAATTCAAGATGACGGTTTCCAAATTCCTAAAATCCAAGATGCTGACTACCGGTTTTTGAAAAACTGTTAAATACCCTACAATATGGGTATTTTCGAAGCAGAAACGACGATTAAAGACCGGAAATCGATTATTGACCCCATATGGGTACAGTATGGGTATTTTTGGGATGAAACGTAACGTGTAGAGGTTGAAGTTGCTGATTAATGCCATTTTAGGATCCAAAGTGACGGCGTTCGGTTTTCTAAAAGCTATCCAATACCCTAAACTATTGGAATTTTAAGAAATGGGTCAACTTATAGAGGCTGGAAATTGAGGTCGGACACCATATTGAAATTCAAAATTATCGGTTTCCGGTTTTAGAAAAAAAAATATACATCATGGGTACTCTCGGCACGGAAATGACGTTTGATCAGTTTTTGAAAATGTGTCACCTTGCAATAAGCAAAGCTACTTAGGTTTACTGTCCTGCCGGTTTTTTTGTAGTCAGGGAGTATGACAACGGGTGTGCAATACTGAATTATCGCTACGCTACTCTGAGTAAAAAAAGCTACGTATTAGTTCGGCCTTTTTTAAGAATTAAGAGAGCATTGTTCCAAAAATACTTCTTCCATCTTCCCACTAAAAATCCCGAATACTATACAGAAATAACCTGTATTTTAATACCACCAATTATTTAAATCGCAATTCACATTTCATATCATCACGATACGCGCCGTTTCAAAAAAGTTGGAAGCGTAATCCTACGTGTTTCAAAAATCGCGAAATCATCTAATTGCCTAAATCTACCGTGTGCAACGTTCTTAAACATTTTCGGGAAAGGAAAACTATCGCTCGAATGGACCAGGGTACGCGTCGCAGTCGAACTTATGATCGGCAATTGCGTTGCAAAGTATTGAGAACAATCAGGGCTAGCCCAGGACTCTCGGAATATTATTCTTATTCTTCTGCATCGCCTTTGAAGCTTATTGCTTATCGCATATTAACTTATTGCGTGATCGCAACTTAGTGTTCTAGATGCACTTCCACAGTTGTTAATTGAGAGCTTTGTGTGGAATCATAGTCTATGCCCAGGAAAGTCGAGAAATTTTCCAACCCGAAAGATTCCTAGACAGGACCGGTAATCAAACCCAGCCACCTCCAGCAGGTAGCTGCGCATTTACCGACTAAGCCTAATAGCGAAGGCTATTACCAAACACTAGCACCACGTAAATAGTGAATGAATTCTCTTGTAATCTGCCCATCGTTCGAATGGTCTTGGTTATTTTGCCTTGGCACACAGAATTTTGGATGGCACGAATCTCAGAAACTTCATTTTCATTTGGCTCATTGGCTCTTTTTAAACGAACGTCTAGAATTGAACATTCTTCATATACATTATGTGAACAACAAGGCAAGCATCCGTCAAAATCTCGAACCAAATCAAAACAACGATCCTCCTTGCAGTGACCTATTAAACATCCCAATCAGTGCAGAATCGCACACATATTCAAACACTTACCAAGCAGATGAACCGCGACAGCCGGTGGCATGACGAAGATTCCGACCAACCAATCGGCCACGGCCAGGCTCATCACGAAGCAGTTGGTCACAGTCCGCAATCGCCGGGTGGTAATCACCGATAAGATCACTAGCGTATTGCCGATCACAGTCACTACGATCAGTAAGCAAAATAATATCACAATGGCACAGTCCTGCCAGTTGGCAATCAATAACTGTGTTCCACCACCGTCGCCACCGCCACCGACCCCGACGTCCATCGTTTTCGAAACTTCCAATTTCGGACCCAGCACGATGGTCCCACTGCCTGCGTCACTTGCACTAGCACTTCCGAACGCGGTCGTCGCCAGTTCCGCCAGATTCCGACCGTCACAGTTGATGGGAACCGATGTTCCCCCGACGAGCAGGAATCTTCCATCCGTACGGTTCCGCTGGTCGTCAACTGGATTGAAAACCGACGCCACTGCTGCTACTCCACTACTACTGTTACCACTACCACTTGTATTACTACCGCCGACGCCGAAGTTGCTCGGTACGAAACCTCCACCGTTCAGTGGAAACAATGTACTTAGGTTTACGCTCGGTGGTCCCGAGGGCGTGAGATCTGTCAAAAGTTTCGTTAGCTTCGTTGTGATTGTTCTTAGCGGTAGTTGACTGCTGAAGTCTGAGAGATGCCACGTCGCTCCGGATGAGATGCTGCTGGTGGCGTCGCCGTTGTCTCCGCCGCCTGCACCGTCGTCCTGGTCGTCGTCGATCGCATTCAGTGGTAGCAATAGTGTGCATCTATCTTCGAGACGGTTTGCCATCTTAATGGTCCATCAACAGCATTGCCCCACGGGGAACGATGGACGGTACATTTTTTGCTTTTGATTTACTACTCTACGGGTGCTACTGGCACTGCGACACTGTCAAGAGAATGAATGAGAGATTCGGAAATGAGCAATTAGACTATAGGCGGATAACGGGGAATAATGCGCTGTGTTATGACTGGAAGCATTAGATAAGACTGCGCACGGTCGTCCAGAACGACTCAAAATTGAGTCGAGCCAACTCAATTTCGGCAAAAGTGGATTTAATCAACAGTGAGTTCTCGGATGTAAACAATTCATGGAGTAAAATGTCCATGGATTTTCCTCAATTTCGAGAAGTTTCTACTGGGTTTCCATGGCTTTTGCCGGGAAAATTCATCTCACTTTGGAGTAAATCCGCTTTTGCCGAAAATGAATCAACTTGTCTTATTTTTGTATTGGTCTGAACGACCGTGTATGAACTACACTTGTGACCATACAATTAACCAATGTCGATAAGATATGTTTGCTTAATGGTGCTATTTGTATGGATACCGGAACCAATAAATTTCGGATGGCATAATAGTTTTCGTGACCATATTTAGTCGCATAGTAGATTAATTTTCAAGCGTCCATAAATGTATATACCACTTGCTCATAACAACTAAAAAACAAAATCGTCAAATAGGAACACGAACGATTTCATACCGCGCACCACTCACCCTTTTGTCTACTGTGATAAAGTGACTGATTAGAGAAATGCTGTTTGCCTAGCCAATGCAAATACATACTACCAGATGGTAATTAATAGCTACAATCTTTCACCTTATGGTTCGTGTAAGCCTTGGATGTGTTTTTATCGATAGATTCTAATAATCCAATTCTGATTCCAATTCTGATGGAATTCTTCGCTCCAGTCTACGTTACTACGAGCAGACTAATCATTACACCGACAAACACTTAACAAAGAGATACCATTTCAGTCAACAACGGTGACACCCTTATCGTGTATCGAACTGTTTAAATGTCATCCCACGTTAATGGCCCATGACGAAATGTCAATTGCCAATTAAACCCATCCTTTTCCATCCATCCGACGTGCACTTGTCCGCCACAAACTGAAAGACGTGCATCCCACGCGCTACCCATCGGAAGTGTATAATTGACTCATTGCATGTCAGGTACCAATCCAACCCAACCGGGTAAGGTGAAGCACATAATGATCGAGACCATCGAGATTAACCTACCCAGTGGATGCATTAAACTGATTATGTTTAAGCAAATAACACTGACACTCTACTCATCGCTGTAGGATGACCATGGCGGCATTGACCACGGGTTCCAAACACTGCGTGACATGGCGTGACCAACTAACATTAAATCGACAAATGGAGCTGGGCAAATGTTTGATTGCTACAATTGAACAGCGGGTAATCTATTTCCGGGGGAATCGATTTTGCATAACAAGATACCAAGTCACCATCAGTATCCGATTAGCATGTTTCAACAGTTGGTGGGAAATTGTTTATTAAGATGAAAGCTACACGACCGTGGAATCAGACTCAAGTTTGAGCTCCATTTATTCAGTTTCGCTAACACCATGGTTGCTGATGCACTCTACCTAATTTTACACGTGACGGAATCCATCTTTGACATGAAGGATGAGACGTAAACAAACCTGTCATGTAAAATTAAGTGCTGCGAGACTGAATAGTTCGAAAGTACGTTTAGTTGAGCTGAATTTTGCGTCTATTATGACTCAATTTTATGTCAAAATTGACGCTCGTATATGTCAGTCTCAGAACCAAGGTTGCAAATTCTCATTTCAGCTAAAACAGTGTTATTTTTGATTATGAAATAATTAGATGCCATGATCATATTTTGAATTGGTAGGATACGAGAAGAGGTTGCAATGAATGTGTTTGACATATTAAACCTGTTTATTTCATTTTATGAGACTCGCTGTCGCTGTTTGTGACTCATAGAAAGCCAAATTTACAGGTTTCATGTTTCAAACGCATACTTTGTAACCTCTTCTTGTAAGTTACATGCCATCATACCATCTTTTGGTTTTATTATTCCAAAAAACATTATTTTAGCTAAAATGAGTATATGCAAGCTTGCTCAGAACACCTAGATTTACATGAATTTTTCTAAATGTGAATCTGTTTTTTAGCTGAGTTCTCAGCAAAACCATTTATTTGTTAAACAGCAAAAAAATAATTTTGATGATGCACTTCAACCGTGTCAAAAATATGGTGTAATATTACTTGCCAAAAAGGACAAAATTATCATTAATACAGTGCATGAACTGACATTACGTTGCTTTTGCTGCATGTTTTTATTTTTGTGGCCATAAAAATTACATTAGATTTTTTACATGAGTGAAGTGCATCCCCTTGGATGTAATATTAAAATTTATTTTTTGTTGTGTAGCTATTTCTAGTCTAGTGTTTTACTGTATCTCAGTAATATAATTTACAGAAAGATTCATACGTTGAAATCTTGGCAACACATTCTGCTCAAATTTGAGCAAATATCATACTCAAGCACAGTTTTGGAGTAGAACTACGTCTTTGTCGACTATACTGGCGTACAAATCAAAAAATATGTGTGGTAAAATAGTGTTAGGTTTTGAACGCTTGTAACTTTGTCATTTATAGATGAAATTAAAATCCAAATCCAAAAAACTTTTGTAAAACGCGCAAAGGATAATTTTATCACTGTTTTCATGAACAAAACGTTTTCCCCAAACCCACACATCATAAACGAATACCACTAGGTTGCAGATCATTCTGCTTGAACCTGAAAAGATATAAAACAGCGCTGCTTTCCTGACTCTGCTCACAATCGAGTACTGTATACTAATCTGGGAGAGTTGCCCAAAATGCCATCACCTTAAACTCCAAAGAATCCAGAACAAGATCCTTAGGATGCTTCTAAACAGTCCCTCGTGAACTAGAAATTCTGAGATCCACCTCCTGGCTGGAATTCAAACATTAGAAGAACGGAGAGTTTTCATCCTGGAAAGGTTCAGAGACACCTGTCTGAGATCAAGTCACCAGGTCATACGTGATCTAGCACGTTAGGATAAGTTATGCTTGTAGTTAGGTAGGTTATCACTTTTTTTCAATTCAAACAAAACACACCCCTTAAGGGGTATGCTGTAAACTAGTTGCAAAACAAAAATATTAAAATAGTTTAACAAATTAAACAAAGATGAAGAGCCGGGTAGGCTAATCAATTATATTTTAGGTTCGTAATGTAATATCCTATCGATTGGTGTATTTGGATTTTAATTTAATCTATAAATGACCAAGTTACAAGCGTTCAAAACTTAACACTACTTCACTACACATATTTTTTGATTTGAACCCCAGTATAGTCGACAAAGACGAAGTTCTACTTCAAAAAATTATCTGGCCACCCTGTGTACAGAAAAAGCCTTGAAGCTCAAACTCACCACAGTTTGGTGACAATTGCAGCTGGTGTGTTTTGTGATGGGAAGACAGCGCTCCCGGACCAGGCTCCGTGAGAAAGCGGAGAAAAACAGTGGTGAGGGTAGCACGAGTGGACCTATTTCAAATAGGTACGTTACTCTTCCTACCGATGTTGGGAATACCACCTCCACCGCGATGGGGAAGCGATCCAAGAAGAGGAAGAAAAACCAAGGCCAGTCCGATGGTGCGAGTGGACGTGATGACGTCACAGCGACGAACACTAGCGACATCGGTAATTTTGGCGACGCCATCGACAACGAAAATTCTGCCGGCCCGAGTGCGGCAAAAGTGAAGCTACCTCCATTGGTAGTGAAAAATGCTCATCGCGGATCTAGCAACGCTGGGCGTTAAAGCCGAATATAAGTTGGGCAGAGTCGGCACCAAGGTGGTGCTCCGTACAAAAGCGGAGTATGACTTGGTCGTCGCCCACCTGAGGACTGGAATTCTTCACCCACGACATTCCCGGTGAGAAGCCATTCAAGGTCGTCATCAGGGGCCTACCGAACTTCGACCCGTAGTTTATCGAAGCTGAAATCAGGGACCGGTACAAGCTGGCACCAAGTGCCGTCCATCGGATGACAAGGAAGGACGAAAATGTGAAAGCATATCCGGATTGACTTTTCCTGGTACACTTCCAGAAGAGAACGGTGACGCTCAACGCGCTGAAAGCCATCCGCTTCATCAATTCCATCATTGTCCGCTGGGAGCCATACTGTGGCGGCCATCGTGATGTGACTCAGTGCCAACGGTGTCTGAACTGGACACGGTACCCGCGACTGCAACATCAAGCCACGCTGTAGCAATTGCGTTCAAGACCACGCCACTTCCGACTGCCCTGTGGATGAAGCTGTGGCGTTAAAATGCGCCAACTGTGGTGGTGCTCACCAAGGATCCAACAAGCAGTGCCCTAAACGCGAGGATTTCAAGCGCATCCGAAATCAGGCTTCCTCCAACAATCAACCACCACGAAGGAAGGATAAGGCCCCGGTTTTCAGGGCGGAGGACTTTCCGCCTCTTCATGGACAAGCGAATCCATGGTTGCGAACCACCCCCCTCAAGAAACGTATGGATCTTCTGCTGGACAAAGCTCTCCATCCCTCCTGGATTCTGGAGGCAACCAACAGCTCAAACAAATAATCCCGATCTGTTCTCAGCAGATGAACTTATGGAGATTTTTATCAACATGACCGGTGCTCTATGAAGTGCCGCAATAAGCCTGAATAGATTCAAGTGTTCGGTAAGTTCATCATCCAGTATGGTGTCTAAACCGCTAACCATCGCTACCTGGAACGCTTGCTCTGTAAGAGCTAAACAGATTGGTTTTGTCGACTTCCTCCGCAAGCATAGCATTGACATGGCGACAGCTTCTGGTTGCCTGACCACAACATTATCCGGCTTGATTGCACCAGCTCCAGGGGGGGTGGTATAGCGGTCATCATCAGAAAGAGAATCAAATTTTGCACTCTGCCCCACATCCGCACTACCAACTGGAAACGTCCGGTTTATCGCTGTTTACTGCCCACGCCAGTGTACCGCAAGCAACGGACTACGAATCCAATTCAAGAACGACCTGACCACCATCACCCGTACTAGCTCTCGATTCATCGTTAGGGGCAA